GGGATAGAATCTCTATAGAAAGGGTGTCCTGCCTCTGAGTGATCGTGCAGGTGCAATGGGAGGAGCCTGCAGGACACAGCCAGATACGAGGAGACCCCTTGCTACAGAGATGGTCAACAGCGCCTGGATCTACCGACCCAGACCCATCTCCCTGCTGTCAATCAAGACCCAGGCTAAGAGAGCAGCTTGCTTTCTGCCCCCACCCGAAAGCATCATGTGACTTGCCACAGGAGGTCCTTCAAGCCTGTGTTCACTGACTGGGGCCTCATTTAGAGTCTGACCTTGAGAATTCTGGGACAGTATAGGTCTATAACTTGCTCTTAAAAACAAAACAAACAAACAAACAAACCCACTGGATTAGGCCTGGAGAGGTGGCTCAGCCGTTCGAGGCTGGGCTCACAACCAAAAAGCACTGGATTCCAAATTGCTCTCTGTTCCCGTGCAGCTCTGCAACAACCATTTGAGAAGTCTCTCCCAGATGGTGGCCCCAATGAGGAAGTTGTGGCATGTGGCTCATTGCGGTGTGTCTGACAGCTCCTGGGCAGTCTGCATGTTTGTGTCAAGGATAGCAGACTGAGTCATGTCCCTCACAGGCATGGCCCAGCGTTGTGACATTGCAACATGATGCTGTCTTCTGTAAAGGTCACAACTGAGGACCTCAAAAGTGAGTTACCAAAGTAGGGGGCCTAGAAAGACGGCTCAGTGGTTAAGAGCGCTGGCTGGTCTTCCAGAGGACTGGGGTTCCATTCCCAGCACCCACATAGTGTCTGATAATGGTCTATAACTCCAGTTCCAGGTTATCCAAACCCTCTTCTGGTTTCTGAGAGCACCAGGCATGCACATGGTAAACAGATATACAAGCACATAAAATAAGTAAAAAACAACAAAAAAAAACTTTTCAAGACAAGCTCTTTCTATGTCACCCTGGCTGTTCTGAAACTTTCTATGTAACCAGACTGGCCCAGAACTCACAGAGATCCATCTGCCTCTAACAACCAAGTGTTCTGGGATTAAAAGTGTGTGCCACCATGCCAGGTTCAGTAAATAAGTTGTTTTTTTTTTAATTTCAAAAACATCATATGTTTTAGGGCTGGAGAGATGGCTTGGAGGTTAAGAGCCTGGGTCTTGATTGACATGCTCTTCCAGAGGTCCTGAGTTCAATTCCCAGCAACCACATGGTGGCTCACAACCATCCCTTATGAGATCTGGTGCCCTCTTCTTGTGTGCAGATATACATGGAAGCAGAATGTTGTATACATAATAAATAAAATCTTTAAAAATATATCATGTTTTAAGTAAACTTATGTTTTGGTGTTGCTCCATATTCACCTCTGTCCTGAGTCACATGGCTAGACACACCTATATTATGCCTATTTTACTTGTAATTCTGTTGATAAACATTTGGTTTCCTTCCTATTTTTAGCAAATACAAATCTCACAGCACTTTAATCTGTGGAGTTTTCTTCTTCCCGTTCAGCTATTTCTATCAGATAAATTTTTTGCCGTGGGGATAACTGGACCAAAGGGCATGGGAATGTTTCATTCAACTCTTCTCTCCAAGTATATACATTTTATCAAAAAGCAAAGGCCTGCCCACACCTTTAAATCACAGCACTCACGAGACTGATCTCTGTGAGTTCAAGGCCAGCCCAGTCTACTAAGTGAGACCCCCGACTTAAATAAAGAAAGAAAAAATGCAGAGCTCTATAGGGAAGGCCAGCTAGTCATCTGAGTCTAAAACATCTTCATACTGACTAATCGGGAAGTAGTGACGTCTGTAAGTCTGTCAGACACAACAATCTTGTCTCCCTGCAACACCACCAGAACTGTAAGAGCCCTTTCAGGTTTCTTGAAAATTTTTAACCCTGACGGATTGATCAATTGTGTGTGCGTGTGCATGCTTGTGTGTTCGTGCACGTGAAGGAATTAAGAGGACAAACTACACAAGCCGGGTCCATGTGGGTCCTGGTATCAGATTCAGGCTGTGGGGCCTGGTGGCCAGGGTCTTTATCTGAGGAACCGTCTCTCCAGCCCCCGTTTCATTTTTTATGCTTATGTAAGACCTTCATCTGATAAGGACAATTTGTTACAAACCTTTATAATGCACATGTTCTACAGACATAGGAGCTGGAATCCAGAGACGTTTCCAATGCAGTGAGACCATGCCTTTGCCCTCAGTGGTTTCAGTTTTTGAGATAGAGTCTCACTATATACCCCTTGCTGACCTGGAACTCAGAGATCCGTCTGCAGCTGCCTCTGAGTGCAGGGATTTCACGTGTGCCTACCACACCAGGCTTGATTTCTGTAGACAGAAGCGGCTTGACTGTGCTTGCTTGCTGTGTAATAGCTCAGAGATAACAACATCTGACCCGAGACTTTAGTGATACTAATTTCTCCTACAGTGCGATAAATAAAAGACCCAGAGACTGATATTGGGGTTCAAGCTTCAAGCTAAAGATCAGAAAAACAAAGCAGCCGGCCACTAGCTCTTGCCTCTAGCTCAGGCTGAAAGGGCTAAGACACAAACTCTCCACCAAGCCTCAGACTGCTTCCTCTCCTCAGTGTGGCTGGAGAGAATCCTGAGACTGAGTCTACTGAAGACCCTGCTCCTGTCTTTTATACCTTTCTAGAGCTGGGTTTAAAGGTGTGTGATACCAAGTGCTGAGATCATTTTGTGTGAGCTGTTTCTCTTAGCTCTGGATCCATTTTGTGTAGTCAGTGTAGCCTTGAACTAACAGAGATCCGTCTACCTCTTAATCCTGAGTCCTGGGATTAAAGGCGTGTGCCTGGCTTCTATGACTTGTGGCTGACTTTGATTCCTAAACCCTAGGCAAGATTTAATAAATCACAAATAATATATCACCACATTCTCCAGGTAAGGAAGGGTCTATGGTGCCAGGAGGGATGGGTGTGAATTCACGTGAGAGAGAACAGGAGGCTCTTAGAAGTCAGCTAAGCGTGGCACAGCTGGGAGGGCAGCCAGCAGGGGGTGGCAGCTCCCCTCAGGTGTCCAAGCCATTGCTCCTTTGATGCTGAATCCTCATTCCAACTGTTGAGCCATGAGACTTTTCACTAACATTGAACTGTTTCTAGACTCCCATGTAGAGAAGAGTTCTTCAGGCCTAAGAAACAAAAGTACGGAAACGAATATTTTCTTTTCTACAAACAAATTAACTGCACTGAGCAAGTGAGACAGGTCAGCAGATAAAGGGGCTTCTCACCAAGCCTGTCAACTTGAGCTCAACCCTCAGGGCTCACATGGTGCAAGGAGAGAAACTTCCACTTAGCTCCACACAGGTGCTGTAGCATGTGTGCTCAAGAGCACACACACACACACACACACTCTCTCTCTCTCTCTCTCTCTCTCTCTCTCTCTCTCTCTCTCTCTCACTAAAAATAAAATAATAAATCAGTATCCTCCCGTTTGCTTTGCTGAACAGGACAGGACGGGGATGAGCACAAGGAATTTCACTGCAACCCCCCCCATGGCAAGGACACATTGGAAGTAGCTGGCTGTTGGCATATGAGTGGATCAGACCCAGTGCTGCCTCTCAGAGCGCAGGGGATGGCGGTGCACTCTGGAGGCGGGAGATTGGGACATCCCAGCACACACCCTGAGGCCAGCAGCAAGTTCCTTACCCTCTCAGAGGCTCTATGCTCTCATCAGAGAGAAAGAAACACAGCACACTCCCACATCTTAGGGCTATGGGGTTATTAAGAGGCCTCTAGATTCACACCTGGCTATGAGAGCTCAAGCAAGAGTGGCCCTGCTTTTCCTGGTCCTCCTCTCTGCAGGAGGACACACCCACTAACATGCCTCTTTGTTTTCTTAGTTCCAGGGTCAGAAGCAACTGGGTCTAAATGCACACTCGCTTTGGCTAGGCTGTCTTTTTGTAATGGGTTGGTTGAGGCAGGGTGTGTGAGTGTCTGTGTTTGTATCTCTGTGTGCCCTTGTGTGTGTGTGTGTGTGTGTGTGTGTGTGTGTGTGTGTGTGGTCAATCACAGGTTTCATTCCAGGAGTCATCCACCTTGATTTTTGAGG